CTGGGGGCACTGGAGGGGGATACTGGGAGATACTGGGAGACGTTGGGGGGAATACTGGGAGATACTGGGGGATACTGGGAGACACTGGGGGATACTGGGAGACGTTGGGGGGGGGATACTGGGAGATACTGGGGAGATGTTGGGAGATACTGGAATGGATACTGGGAGATGCTGGGCGGGATATCGGGGGTCACTGGGGGCCCTCCTGCCCCACACTTTTGGGGTTTGCCCTGAGCTCGCTGGGGTCAACTGAAGACCTTCTGCCCCACACTTATGGGGTTCCCTGTGGGGTCAGCGGGGTCTGTTGAGGAGTTGCTGCCCCACACTTGTGGGGTTTGCCATGGCTTATGGGGTCACTTGTGGAGCCGCTGCCCCACAAGCGTGGGGTTCCCTATGGGCTCACGGCCATCAGCTGGGGCCGTGCTGCCCCACACTTATGGGGCTGGCCGTGGGCTCAGTGCTGTCACTCGGGGATCATCTGCCCCACACTTATGGGTTTCGCTGTGGGTTCACGGGGGTCTTTTGCAGCTGCGCTGCCCCACATCTGTGGGGTTCGCCATGGGTTCACAGGGGTGACTCGGGCAGCTCCCGCCCCACACTTTCGGGTTTCCCTACGGGCTCACGGGGGTCCTCCTGCCCCACACTTGTGGGGTTTGCCACAGCTTTACAGGTGCCACCTGGGAACCTCCTGCCCCCCGCTTTTGGGGTTTCCCACGGAGCCACCAGCGGACCTTCCGCCTCGGAACCCGGCACCCTACAGCCCGCCCTGTCTGTTCCAGCCCCACTGAAAGCCAACTCCCCACGGCGCACCCTATGGGTCCTGACCCTCCACAACCTGCCCTATGGGTCCCAGCCCCACTGAGAAACCCAGCACCCCACAACCTGCCCTATGGGTCCCACAGCCCCACTGGGAACCCAGCACCCCACATCCCGCCCCACGCATCTCAGCCCCCGTAACCCAACGCCGTCCATCCTGCCCCACACATTCAGACCCCCAACGCCGGAACCCAACACCCCCCATGTCCCCACAC